TCAAGAATCAAAAACCCAAGGTTTGATTTATTACCCTTTTCATTTGCTCAGTTCCTGTATCATTGATTTTATTATAAATTTATTTTCTTTTTCTGTTTGATTTACAGTATGCTCAATAATTGTTGAGAAAATACAAGTTCATGTTATTACTTATTAGCTTGCCTCAGGAAATTAAATTAGAGTCAAAGTTGCTAGATCACCTGATACCCATCTGATTTTAATTCATATATATTGTATTTTTTTTTTCCTCAATGTGATGTATTTATTTGGCAATTATCATATGTTCATGATTTTCCGTGGAAAAGATGAATTTATGAACTGGGTCTCAAGCCACTAGCTTAAGTTTTGATTGAGTTGGTTTTTGAGGAATTAACAAGTAACAAGTCTATTATGATATCAAATCTTAGGGGGGTCTTAATGAACTATATATGTTGGCTAATATATGGGGATGTTATGTGCAAATGTGCACGGTCTAGGCTTCAAAATTCAAACCCAATAAGCATTTGTGTGAAGGAGTGTATTTAAGATAAACCATATGTTGGTTCTCTCCCGAATACAGATGCACCTCAGCACCTCCAAATTGATATGACAATAACTATATATGGGGCAAATGGAGGGTTTGCTTTTGTATGAATCGTATTCCCTTTTGATTATTGCCGCGTTACTTGAGAACACAAGCCTTCTAGTGTACTATTGTAACTACAAATAAGAAAACACAATTCTAAAGTGTATGCAATGAACGCATCTGTCCGTGTGTGTCAAGTAAGAAGTAAACTACCTAAGTGGCCTTTAGAAGAGCTTTGTAATTGATTCTTACATTTCTTCTTAGAATTTTCTGCATTGCATTGATTTGTGTTGTAACTTTTAAACAATTTTTATGAAATTTAGGAAGGCTTTTGTGGAGTGCCTTTAATAGGAAATGGGATGATTCCCAGGGTCGGGAGTGATTTGATCCGTCTTACTGTTTTGTCTGTTTACATCTGTTTTTATGCAAAATTTTAATAAGATAAAGTAAGTACAAATTAATGTCACTTAACTCACTCATTATCCTTGCGAACCACAATCTTGAACCGTTGGATTGATTTGTGGTACTGGTTTGACAAATTAGGTTCCCTTGCCAGTTAAATGTAATAGAACATTTTGTGTTCTAAGTAAACAATATTTAAAATTTAATCTGCTGTTTATTTGGTCATCAATGCTCATCAAAATTTATTTGTCCTTGTTGACCTTTTGTCCTCAGGTTACGGCAGCAATGATGACCAGAAAGTTCTTTGTAGCCTCAATATGCATGTGGGCAGTTCCATTTGCAATCTTATACGGCTTTCAGCATGGCTGGTACCCTGGTAAGTCCTTTTATCTCTAAGTTCACTTGTAGATAAGACCCAGTGACTCTGTCAAACTCGCTATGAAGTTGATAGTTATGTTAGTTGCCTTTCAATGTGATAAATTTATGGTTATGCTTAAATAAAAACTATTCATATCGCCCTGGGATTTGTCTACTCATATTAGGATCCGAGCCTTTCTGTGACACCATTTGACTTTCAGGGGTCTCACTCTAATCACATTAGACACTTGCAAAAACAGGGCTAGCCCATCTAGATGCCATGTTTAAATAACCCACACCTGCATTTAATGATTACATGATGGTCAGTGTTTCTCATAGAATGATGAGTGATTCCAACAAATAATTATTCCCATTCTCCTTCTTGTAGTTTAGAGTTTGGCTCACAATTCTTGGCGAGTTGGCAGTGAAGGTGTAATAGACTAGCTTGGAGGGGTAGTATAGGTATTTTAGTAATACTAGTTTATTAGGGTTAATAGTCCTTAGTATAAATAGAGAAGGAAGGGAAGGAAATAGGTAGGAAGAAATATGGTGAGAACCTTTTGGAGAGTTATGGCCTAAAGCCATTATTGGAGAGTTGTGAGCTAAACTCACCATCGAAGCTTGATAGCCTTAAGCTATTAACCTATCGTTTGTACCCTTTTACCATTATCATTCGTTAGTAAAGCTTCCATCTTTCCATTCTTGCAACTTACAAAAATCAGATTATCTACATGATTCAAAGAATCAATTTTTCCCTATAGTTTTACTGTTATTTGCATAAGTAAGGCCCCGTTCTTTAGAGCTGCTTTGCTCTGCTCTGATTTGCTTTGCTGAAATCTGCTCTGCTCTGCTGAAATCTGCTCTGCTCTGTTCTGCTTCAATCTGCTCTGCTTGCCCTGCTCTGTTCTGCCTTGCTCTGCTTCAATCTGCTCTGCTCTACTGAAATCTGCTTTGCTTTGCTCTGCTCTGCCCAGAAGCTCAAAAGAACAGGGCCTAAGCAGTAAACATCAGTTCATTACAGAAGGTTGATAAGATGGTGAAAATCTTCCTATTCGATGATGATTTCTCTCCCTTAGAGGGGGCCATCATGTAAGAGGAATTGGGCCACAATTAGAAGCTGAGGATGTCATGACCTTGCAATAATGAGCCAGATTATATAAGTTTTGTGAGCACTGGCTGGTTCACTCACTAGACTAACTTTCAATTAGTGATCAGAAATTTGCAGCTTAAGGTTTTCAAAGGATTCATGAATTTGTCTTGAAAAAACTAAAGGACCTTTGTGATTTAAAGGAGGTTGGTTGAAAGATGATTACTCAGCTTGAATTCAGGACTTTCAGGTGTTGCTAGCCCCCGTCTCATTAACATAATCAGCATTCAGCTCCATAAGTCATCAACAATGTAGGAGGCTTGGAGCTCATGGTTGGGTGGCCCATCATGTTTTTGGTTGTACTCTTGCCAACTTGGATATGTAGGATCTGTGCTCCAATGATACTAAATTCTCATAACCTTAACCCCAACATGAAGGGATACGACATACGGTCAGTCGGTCATGCATCGACTACTTTCACTCTAACAGTGATGGTTTCATGGAGAGCTTTAAGTAGTGGATTTAGTCAACCCCCTTTTCCTCTCACTCTTTCTCAGTGTACCACATGTTCATGGTCATTTGTGTGAAGATGACATGAACTCTGGGGGCTAATAAAATTTCTCTTCACCTTTCTCCCCATAGATAACTAATCATGTGATGACTTTTAAAGACAATATATTAGCGAGATGCCTTCATTGTACTTGCATGAGGCCTTTTTGTTGTCATTAGCTGATGTGGACAAACTCCAGTTGTTTCTGAGGAAATTACAATCACTATTGTTAATGCTACTGTATTGCAAAGGGCATATCTCTTGGTGAAGGACCCAAGTTATGAGGGCAGGAAGTTAACTACCCTTCAACATGCTCTGTATTCATGCCTTCATGATTATCTAGTGAGAAAACATGTAATCTTGCTCTTTTTACTCTAATATCTCCCCACTATCGTAGTATGGCAAGTAACAATCATCACGAAAGCGCTCCGTGTGTATGACAGTATGAGTAACTTTATTGTTAAAGATAAGTTAAAAGGGAAGTTCTCCATTCATGGTCCTTCGTGTGAGAAAAATGGATACTTTGCTCTGCTAATCTTAAACTGATTTGTGACCCTGCTTTTCTTCCCTCTTCCAGGATCATACTTTTAGGATGAAAAGTTGATTCAGAGTATCAGACATTTCTGACATTCAATTTTTAATGGATTACCTTCACCACATAGTTTATTGGGAAGTGGAGTAAATATTTCATCTTTTCTGATTCTAGATTTCTAGTTGACGTAGCGAAAATAAGGTTGTTAATGATGTTAGAAAAAAAGAATTTAATTATATTATCGGTCCATATTCTGCTTTCCTGTTTCTTCTTTATTATCTGGGGACTACAGGGTAATTTCAGTATATGCATACCCTTGTCATCTACAAGAATGTTTTATTGGTTATAAACATGAAACTTTCTTTTGTACAACATTTGCTAATTCAAAAGGCAACGTCGGACTTTTGGACAGCAATTTACCCAATTTTGTCACCTAATTGTCCTGTTCACAGAATCGAGGCCTATTATTGCTCTTAATGCTTGACATTAGTATTTGAAGCTGTTTTTGCTTAATTGTTTCTATTCATACTGTTTATTTTGCTCACACCCTTACATCCTGAGAGGGTATTATAAGATTTCTGGATATTGCAGCACCTTTGTGATGGCCACTTACCTATTTTTCCTGTTCTTAGGATCAAGATCAATTATTACTCCTAATGCTTAACATTAGGATTTAAGCTACTTCTGCTATGCTGTTTTCATTTCAACTGTTTAATTTGTTTTAATTATCTTGTGTTAGATATACAAAATCACAACTCATACTTTTAACCATCATTACCTCTGCTAATGCTTATTTATGCATAAATTTCAGGTTTCTCAAACATATCACCTTCTTCTCAGACACTGCTAAGTGGGTTTCTTGCTGTTGTATCAGTAAATATAATGCTTGCATTTTACATATGCATGGCAATGAAAGAGCCTATTGGTAAGCACAAGCCAGATCCTGCTTTTGTAGCCAAGGCTACGGTTACAAATAACCAAAGAAAACCCAGTGGTGGTGCTAAAGTGGACTAGGCATGTTCATACAGCCTGAAAAGGACCTCAGACTGCAAAGTGGGAGCACGAGGAAGATCTGAACAGTCCAAACCGCTGATATTTTAGGAAAATTTTGACAGCCTGTAATGAACGTTATTTGTACTATGTCTCTCAGTTCTAATTCAGTAGAAATAGAAGTCTTTGATTTTCTTCAGCAAAATTTACTCTTTTTTAGTTTATAATAATTGTCTTATCCATTCGGATGGGCTAAAATACTGCTGCTCATCTACTTAATGTAGTGAGCTTTTATTTATCTATTCTTTAATTGATTTTGAGAGGTTTATAGTTAACTTTCTTCTATGTCCTATTCTGTTTATCCTTGCCATAATGGAGCTAGTGAGTTTCCTTAAAACTGCAAGCCTCGTTAATCTGCATTGTGCATGAACTATTTCACACATCTTAGTGCGATAATTCAAGAATGAATGCAGAATTATAAGAGTTCAGCACACAGATGAAGTAAGGACACAGATCATGAACAATGGGAGAAAACTTTAGCTCCATACATTTACATAATTTCATTACATAAAATTGCCCTACATACACTGTATCAAAAGTGATCATGAACAACGGGAGAAAACATTTTCCCAACCCATACATTACAAAATTTCATTTACATAAAACTAACCTACTACATTATCAAAACTTCATAATATCTACTGATTAATCTCATTTCTTCCTTTCTATAACAAAAACTGTTAAAAAGTATTAATATAGCGCTTACTGCAACTCACTGCTAAAGTGCTAAGGTGTGGACTCCTCAAATTGCTCTGCAAAACCTTCAAATTGCACACCAACCTGGAAGCCTACTCCCAATTTCTGAAAATCCTGCAGTGTCCACTGAATAGCAGTTTCTAAGCACAAACCTTTATCAAGGTACAGGACGGACAAGGAAAGACTCATATATATGAGGTGAACCAATTAGTCTTGGCTTATCAAAGAGCATAAAGGCAAGCCATGACTTCCACTTGCACACGTCAAAAGGCTAGAATCGGTTCACAATAATCAAATTTACAAGCCTCATTTCTGCTTAAGATGATTCTCCGACCAAAGAGATGATGGTGTGAGTAGTGAGACAACTCAATCATTGTCCAAAGCACTCACTATTCATTAATGTCAAAGCAGAGCTTGGCCTCATCCCATGGACCATTTATTTCAAACTTGTATTTTTGAATTCTGGTAAGCCAATAAGGACAGATGAAAGTGATAAAAACCAGCAATCCTAGAAGTATGCCGAAGAAAAATCCTTGCAGTCTATAAACTAGCACCAAAGTGAGACCCACCACTCCCAGTGAAAACCATAGATACAACCAGAATGAATATCTCTTGATACAGTATGCAACAAAAGGAGCAAAGAGGAAAACCTGCAAGGAAAACAACACAATAGCAAAAACAAGTTGCCTTGATTGGAGTTGGGAAGCAATCAAAACCGAAGCAATGATGGACATGTTCAAAGAGATATTGCAACTTAAAGTAGGATTTGTCAGAGAACCAGGATCCTTCACAGTGCACCCAGTGTAGTCATGCAAAAAGAGATGGAGGACAATAAGCATAGTCGTTAGAGCCCAAATGGAGTCCGAACTAATGGATTTCGTTAAAGTGTGGTAAATTGGAGACAAGGCATACAACCCAGTAATGAAATACAAGATGTTAAGAGCATATTGGGCGAAGAGTTTGAGGGAAATCATCCTCGCAGTTAAAATGAGAACTACGAAGCCTGAAACTAGCATAGTTATATCAAGAAGCAAGAGGGATTTTAAACTAATAGTTGAGGCAAGAGTGTAGGTCCAGACCAACACCACAAGGATGACGGTGCAAAAATACTGGGAAATGGACACTGAATCAAGGATCACCTTACACAAGTCCCTCTTGACAACATTAGCATTTGTGACCATATCCTCGAGGAATGAATCACCTGTATAATTATCATCAAACCCCGGCTGCATACCTCCATAAGCTACCTTTCTCCATTTCCACGGAGCAGGGGACAAATCTTCCTCCATTCTTGTACCTAGAAACAGAAAAATATTTCAAGAATATATTTCAATTACTTAAAACTTCACAATCTGTCTTCAGACCCAAATTCCAAAATGAAATAAAAGGTGACAATCCAGCTACTCTAGACCAAATGAACGCGAAAGTAATCAATTTTGATCCGCATATCCACACCCATAAGGTAAACCACAACCTGAAAAACCCGGGCAACACATCATAGCCCACAAATTCACAAGAGACAAAACCGATTTAATCAATCACAGTATCAAATTAAAGACTCTGCAAATCAAAAGTTTCCTGCATATGAATCAGAACCAACATGAAATCAAAACTAACATTAAAGGGTTATAAACAACTGCTAGCAACAAATTAGCAACCAAATTGGAATCAATTATCAAATCAGGTCTCACAGTAACAAATTAAAAACTCTGCAAATCAAAAGTTTTCTGTATATGAATCAGAACCAACATGAAATCAGAAGCAACATTAAAGGGTTATTTAGCAACCAAATTGGAATCAATTCAGGTTCCAAAAATCAAAATGCGAATGTTAGTTCATACATTCAGTAATATTACCAATAGTTTAATAATTCACCTCAGAAGAACCCTAATTTGACTATAATGAAAATTAATCAGCGATAAACTTTAGATTGTAACATTGATATTCAATGATTAAAAGATATGAAAAAAAAAAAGAAGCTTACCTCAAATTCTGTTTCAATGGAGGAGTTAGCTAAGAAGCCACTACAATGGAGGAAACAGTGTACGCGCGTCGCTCATTGGAGTTGTTTAAAGTCGCAAATAAATCCGTTTTTTACTACAGAGTATTCATTGGTAAAAATACTATAAAATTTTAATTTTAATGTCAATGCACAAGTTTGACTTTATTTTATTTTTATTTTTACTTAAAAGCAAAGCTAATGGTTGCCCAAATTAATGGTGGTCATCAATTTTTTTTATTAATATCTCTCTCTTCTATCTCATCTATGCCCAATCACCATGCCCAGTTATGCCCACATATACCCATTGATTGCCCTTTATTTTTTTTATGATCATAAATTCATAATATTCATCACTAACTAAGAAAATAATAATAAAAAAATAGTCCACTCATACCGTGACAAGTGGCACACACATATTGTTTGCCCACCCTTTGCCAATGGTCATGGTCATCAGGTCATGACCTGATCATTAGATTTATCTCTCCTAAAGTATCATCTTTTGAATTTTTTAATATTTTTTTTCTTTCTCTCTCTTGATGCCCACCTTAAATGGGCAACCATTGGCTTTGCTCTAAGTAAATATCAATAAAAATCAATGGACTTATAAAGGTGGGTACTAAGCTATTGGCAAAGTTTTTCTTCAAAAAAAAAAGCTATTGACAAAGTTTCAAATTAGGTACTTGACTATATATTGTTGCAGTTAGAGTACTAAACTTTGTACTCAATTTGTTTAATCTGTTGTAACAAGTTATAGGAAGCATTTAATACATTTTTTTTTTCATACCTTAAAGTGTTAGACCATATTTAGAACAACTGAAATCACAAGTGCGACTGTTTTTAAATTTCCAACCGTTACAACATCCGGAGTAAAGCAACTATTAAACTGTGACTCGAAATCTAGTAGGGTTGACTTTTAAATGCAGATATCTCTCAAACTAAAGTGATTTTGAGGTGATTCAAGTTGGAGGTGATAGCTTGGTTCAAGAGCTCTCCAACGATAAGTCATATGCCCAATCCCAATAAGAAACAAGAAAGTCATGGCCGTTTTACGAAAACTTGACGAAGTACTCGACATAGCACGTCCGTGCCTGGACGAGTTGGGCGGTTTTTGGGGTCAATTTTAAGCTTATGTGTTTTATGGAATATTTCCTAAAATTTTATCTTTTTTATATGACAGCTATTTGAGTATAATTGGGGAACAATTTAGAGTTTTTATTAGGGTTTCTTGTGTTATAAAAAGACCGTTTAGTTGATCAATTAGATCATACCTTTTGAGCCATTAGATTTAGAACACCTTGTATTATTCTCTCGTTCTTTCTCCATTATACTGAACAAGCTCTCGAATCTCCCACCCGTGGATGTAATAAGTCTAATTTGACCGAGCCACATAAATCCTTGTGTTGTTTAATTTGTTTATCTTCTTTATTGCTTTTCTCGTTCTTATTATTCATTGACTTGTTCCGCATTAAACAAACACAATTATACCCTTATTTCCTAACAGGGACATTTTGAGCTCATGTTGATGAGAAATTAGGGCGGTCTCGGGAAAAAAAATATATACTATGTTAAGATGAAAAGAGTTTGTAGTATATATTGTTAATAATACTCGCTCTATTTTTTTTTTATATGCTAGAGTTGGATTTGCACTTTTGCCAAAATACAACTTTGACCATCAACATCTTTATAAAGGGGGTTAGTAAAAACTAGAGTTGTCAAAAGCTGACCCGACCCGATATACCGACCCTAACCCGACCCGTCCTTACCTAAAAAAATGGTGACCCGAACCCGACCTAATTGATTCGAGTTGACCCGAGCATTTGAGACCCGAACATTAACCGACCTAGAGACGACCCTACCCGAATGTAACCCGTAAATTATTGACCTGAACCGAATCCGGCCTAAACCGAAATTGACTCAAACCCGTTTTAACCCGTTAAAACCCGAATTCAACCCGACCTGTTCCTAGCCCGACCCAAATTCAACCCGATCTTTTCCTAACCCGATCCGAATTTAACCCGACCTGCTACAAACTGACTCGAATTTCAACCCGACCTGTTACAAACCCGACCCAAATCAACATGACTTGTTATTAACCCGACCCAAATTCAACCCGACTTGTTATTGAATCAATATCTATAGGTCGTTATCTCATATTGGTATTGGAACGGAAATTGAATCCTAACTCTATTCCTTCAATATTTCACTTTGAATTTTAAGAGGTTAGTTTCACAACATGTTTTTAGGGACGAATTTCAGGGACGAAACAATTGAGAAATGTGACATATGGTTTCTAGGAAATTATAATTCAAGATGGGCATTGTGCCATATGAAATAACTAAAAAAAAGCTTGATATTATTGACTTGGAAATGACCCGACTTGATTATAACCCGTAAATTATTGACTTGAACCGAACCCGACTCGAATCTGAGAATGACCCGACTTGGAAATGACCCGACTTGATTATAACCCGCAAATTATTGACTTGAACCGAACCCGAAAATGACCCGACCTGATTATAACCCCTAAATAATTGACTTGAACCGAACCCGACTTGAACTCGAGAACGACCCGAACTTGTTTAAACCCGTAAAGACCTGAATATAACCCGACTTATTTTTCACCTGACCCGAATGTAACCCGACCTTTTACTAACCCGTGACCCAAACCCGATAAGATGTATGACCCGACGTGACCCGACTCAAGCATGCCCTAACCCGAACCCGACCTGCATATGTTATGACATTAACTTATATTGACCCGATCCGAGATGACCTGACTCACACTATCCCGACTCAAACCCAACCCGTTTACCTAAATTGACAGATCTAGTAAAAACTATGGAAAAATTAATTTATAAAAGTAGACATTGTGACAAATCAAACAATATATTACATGATCATATTTATATACTGGTAAAAAAATTAAGTTAGTGATGACATATAAATAGTGGAAAATCTCAACTCTAGTTTATATAAAAAAAGCGGAGGGAGTATAATATTTGGTTTTTAAATTGCACTTTTTCAACATTTATTTTTACTAGAACGGCTAATGCGCGCCATAGCTAATATTCATTTTGGCTTTTATGTTATTTGAATTTAGCATTTGTATTTGTTGGATGCATGGTGAGCACTTTACACTACACCCGGGTGCACAAACCAATCAATACTTGCATAGACCAAAGTTTCAAGACTATTGTTATGCTCAACTCCCCTCCACTCTTGTAATAGGTGCACAACCATTAGAAGCCATTTTTTGGTCATTATTAATTACTTGTATATCAAATACAAGTAAAAGATTTACTCCACCTCAATATAAAAAGAAGTTAAGTCAATGCCTTAATTGTTCTTAATATATAAAATGATGGTATGTAAGGTTGTCATTAAATTTATCTTAGGTCCTTAAATCAATAAACTAACATAATTAAATACATACGTTTTCATCAATCTTTAAGCTTTCCATTCACTTGTATTATTCATGGCTTTGAGACAAGGCATTTTCATTGTCCCTTCAATATTGATTTTATTGGTGGTTGCAACTTCTTTGATCTTAGTTTCAGTGGAATCTTGTGATGATCAAGTATGTATATTTCTCAACTTCTCCATGTTCATGGCTTCTCTTTGCTATTTTGTGAATTAACTGTATTTGGTTGCATGCTATTCTTTTGGCTATTTTCCAAAACCAAGTGTTTAGTAATTTACTCATAAAAATTGTTACACCCTTTGTTTTTTGTTTTTTCGGATGTTCTTGGTTGGAATCTAGCAACTATTCAAGGTATGAAAGAATCTTTTAAATTTTCCTGATATGTCAGTAAAAGCAGCTTTGTAGGGTATTGTTTGATTCGTCGCAATGAATTTTCTAAATGTACCAAGTAATCATTTCTGCAAAATAATTACTTTTGAGATATTAGTGATCAAAGATGTGCATGCATTAGCAAACAAGCAACCCAAGCATCTTAGTTTTAAACAAATGTGCTGACAATTTGTAACAATGTCTACAATGTTACTAATATGGCATGTAACAATTTCTTCAGAAGCCTGAATACCAAAGTAAATGGCTAAACCATGGAGGAGACCTTCAAAACCGGAGATACGCCGAGCTAGAGACGAAAATAAGTCCGAAAACAGCCCAAAACCTCAAGCTAAACTGGGAATTCGAAGCCAAAAGCTACACAACAGCAACACCAGCTATATATGAAGGAACCATATATTTCACTAGCTTTGATGGTAACGTTTATGCTATCAAGCAATCGGATGGATCGCTTGTTTGGAAGCAAAATTTGCACGAAATAACCGGGTTTAATTCGACTATAATCTTATTCAAAGGGACTCTAGTATTGTCAAGAGCAACTCCAACAATAGCTAATGACTTAGTGATTGTTACAATGTATGGCCCTGCTGTTGTTCTTGGGTTTAGAAGAGAGAGTGGTGAATTTGTGTGGATGACTCGCCTTGAGGATCATCCTGATAGTGTAATTACCATGTCCGGGACTTACTATAACGGGTAAATACAAATAACTTTTCTTGCATTAATTATTGCGTTTTTTAGTTTTAAATAAGTTGACACGTTTTGACTTTTGACATTCACTAGAACATAAACTTGACAAACAAAAAAGACAAATTACTCTTATTGATCCAATTATTTATTTATTTATTTTTTTTTTTTTTTGACAAATGATCCAATTATTTAAAGGTCAAATTAAACTAGATTCAATTGACCTATTTACTATAGTACACTCTAAACTCTAAACATGTTGCTGTAATTAATTCTTGAGTTATTAAATTAGATGATTAGGAACTTGACAAAGCACTGTAGCATTTGAAAAAGGTAGTAATTTTTTACGTTAATGAATTTGCATTATTTACGTAGTATAACTTCTTTATTATACTCCACTTGTTCTTAGAATTAAAGATAAGTGGTTAAGTGAATAATGTCTGACTCCCTGATATGATATAATATTAGGTATTTGAAAGAAATGACTAAAAATGTAATCTACTGAGTATGACACATTAATTTTCTGCATGATTCCCTTAGAAAATTACGAGTAAATGATATGTGATACAATTTGAAATAAAATATTACTGCTAACTTCTTTATTAATTAACCATAGATTTCTAATCTAATCTTTAAGTATGAGTTGAGATCTGGTCTATATTGCCAGAGTACAAGTAACGTCACTTTGAAATAAAATTACAGAAAATGAAGTATTGATAAAGTAACTAAGCAAGTGTTAATAAGAATATACTCTCCTATAGGTAAGTCTTCTTCTAATAGTTTGACCTTGGGAAAATAAATGTTTCAATTTTAGACGGAACACAAAGTATTGGTGTGTTACATGAGTCTGTCTTACCGTGAGTTTAAAGTTTCAAAAATTAATATAGTCAATAGCTTATACATATAAAATGTCTAAAAACTCATCATATAGTATTTAAAATTTAGAAATCAAGATGTTTGTAAACTTATATGAAATGTCCAATAACTTATACTTATGAGTCTTATCATGAGTTTAGACTCGTACAATACTTTTGCAATGTAAAGTCAATAGTTTGTATAATTTATTCTTCTTTTTAATTTTAAGGTAACACGATTAAAAACATAACTTTTTTTTAACGCGATTATTAAAATTATGTGTAGGGGATATTATGTAGGAACATCCTCACTAGAAGAGTTAGCCAGCATAGACAAATGCTGCACATTTCGTGGAAGTTTTGCAAAACTTGAAGCTAAAACAGGAAAAATCCAATGGCAAACTTATATGCTACCAGATAACCAAGGAAAGCAAGGAGAATACTCAGGGGCAGCCATATGGGGTAGCAGCCCTTCCATCGACGTGTCGCGAAACCTCGTCTACATAGCCACAGGCAACCTCTACTCGGCTCCAGAGCGAGTAGAGGCATGCCAAGAAAGAGAAAACAATCAGACAATCCCTACACACCCTGAGGAGTGTATAGAGCCCGAAAACCACGAAAACTCGATTTTGGCTCTAGAGTTGGAGAGTGGTGACATTAAGTGGTACCAACAGTTAGGAGGGTATGATGTATGGTTTGCTAAGTGTATGAATCTTTCAACCCCGAATTGTCCTCCAGGGCCTAACCCTGATGCTGATTTCGGGGAGGCGCCGATGTTGTTGAGTGTGGTGGTGAATGGTTGTCGAAGAGATGTTTCTGTTGCTGTTCAGAAGAGTGGGATTGCTTGGGGTTTGGATAGAGATACCGGGGATGTCATATGGAGCACGGTACGTATGTGTTATATTATGGCTTTTGTTATTGCTATATGAATTTTGATACTTTTTATTGCAACGGAATAGTAACATAGGACGTGTTTGGCAAAATTAGTTATTGGTTGTAGTAGATTTTAGCTGCTAGAGAAAACGTTAGCTATCAATCTATCATATAGGTTTTGTTAGCTTCTGTTAAAAGTAGTTGTTTGGTGAAGGTGTTCGACATAAATTAGCAGCTGAAATAGTAAAATAAATTTGGGCTATTGTGAAACACTACTTTTATAAGCTATAAGTCATCATCTACCCCTACTTTGTCAAACTATTATATGGAAAAAGTTGTTGGCGAACATGCCCTTAGTAGCACATATGTGACTGATATTCATACCTATAATTCATGCTTTAACCAACTGATGATCAAGTAGGAGGCTGGACCAGGAGGCATGAAGGGAGGAGGCATATGGGGAGCCGCGACAGATGGAAAAAGAGTCTACACCAACATAGCCAATAGTGATGCCAAAAACTTCACTCTCAAGCCATCAAACTTAACCACAAAAGCTGGAGGATGGGTGGCAATTGATCCTCGAGGTGGGGAAATCTTATGGACTACGGCGAATCCTAGCAATGGTGTTAGCTTTGGCCCTGTGACGGTTGCTAATGGTGTAGTGTTCGCTGGGTCATATGATAAGCAAGGGAACATATATGCAATGGATGCTAAGAATGGTGCTGTTTTGTGGTCTTATGAAACAGGTTCAGAAGTATATGGGGGTGTATCAGTTGGTGATGGATGTGTGTATGTTGCTAATGGGTATTGGACTGCTGGAAAGTCACTGTTTGCATTCTGCGTTTGATGGTGCATAAATGTTGAATTATAATTATAGTTTTGTGATTATTCTTCCTCACAAAAACAGGGCTTGAAATTAAGGGTGTTATATCTTATATGCATTGTTGGAATTGTGTGTCTAAAAAATATACTTATGTATTAATTTTTTTAAAAAGAATAAAGATAATGAAAATAACATTAGGAAGCCGAGAGATTGTTATATACACCATGGTACACTGTACACCCATGAGCATTTGACTTTCATTTTGATGATTTTTTTTCATTTAATCATCAAATAAAGAGCAAAAACTAACCTTATACGGTGCATCCGAGTGTATAAAAAAATTTCATGGGAAGCACTCCTCATTCAATATCGGTAGAGGCATATATACTGGAAATTTTGATAGTGTACAGTTTGATATGGCTCCCTGTGTTATGGTGCTCGGGTCAGGACAGAGATTGGAGAGCCATAACAGAGTCGAATCATCGAAATGTTATCATGTAGGCAACTTCTATCGAGTGGATAAATGAGGGTCAAATCACATTCAGGGGTGGGATGTTGCTTGCAGAGTAGCAGCTAAGAATAAATGTTACTAATAGGTGTTCCATACAAGGTACTCACAAGTTAACCTGAATCGCATCGCAGTGTGGACAAAGATGAAGTAAAAATAGGTATGATCCTTGGAACAAATAATTACTATCTGAATATTACAACAGTGTCAGACTCAGAACAACAGTATCCTCTAAAAGAGTTATTACCATAATTACCCCCAGAAAAAATATAGAAAGAAAAAAAAAATAGAAAAGAAGATTAAAAAAATTGTACTAACCATACTTAAAAGAAATAAATAAATCAATTCACTAGATGTTTTAAACAGCTCCTTTCTCACCAACATTTGAGGTCAAAAAAGGGGAAAAGCAGGGAAGAGACTACATTCATCTTAGACTTTTTAGTGGCAATATGAAACATCCATTTTAGTTTTTGGTTGTAGGAGAGCTACAAACACAAATTTTTCCCGGGCTTCATTCGAGCACATTGTAAAGAACAGAGCTGCACCCTATCTTTTCTAGCAGCAGCCAAGGCTAAAAATAATAAACAAAAACGAATCTGTGGCCGGTGGTTATAAATAATCAGAGCTGTGACCTAAAAAAATGACCTTGATGAAATCTGTGACAGCAGCTGCAGGTTTAGGAGGCACTTTTGAGTCAACACAGAGCAAACGGGCCACGTTTAATTTACTGTTGGTGCTGTAAGGGGAAAACGGTCTTCCGCCCTTCTCAAGTATCAACCCCAAAAAAGTTAGCCAAGCAACAATATATCTTCCTCCTGAGCCATCTTTATGCATAATACATGTACAAGCTATTTGCCGCGGCACAAGCAATTGAGTTTTCTGATGGGTGCCAAGCTAGATGAAGCAACTTAGTGGTGAAGTCAAAAGAATTTCCATTTGAATCAACACCAGGACTCTCAGATCCTGCCATACACATTCCAATTATTGAGTGAAAAGGTCTTTGAAAAGAAACTACTCATCTGAAAAGTTAAATGGATTACACGATCCTAAGCTTGCAGTGAAAGGAATACAAAAATTAAAAGATAACCTCGTCTAACAACACGTGTTATGCTGCTCAACGACCTGGAGGGTCTTGATGGGGTTTGCACTTGTCTCCTGCAACAATTATAATCATATTAATAACTAAATTATAATTTCAGACATACTGTTAGTTTCCCTTCTTTATTATCAAGGGTACCTCATGGGATTTTTGCTGGCCTCCAAAGTTGTGGCTTCTGTGCTTCCAGGAGCACAACCAAACACGCGGAAAAGATTGCTGGAACACAAGAATTGCTTCAATAAAGGGTTACAAAACCAAAACAATAGCATCCAAAAAATTGAGTCCAGTATATACACTCATACCTGTAAGAACCAGTTGCCACTCGCTGCCCATCACCACTCAGACAACACTCAAATTTATCAAAAATAGAATCATTTTCATACAAGTCACACAGCTGCAAAAGTAATCATCAATAAGTAAGATTCTTTGACTTCACCGATATCAGATCTAAATGGGTAATAACCTCAAACCTCACCTTGGGTCTTAAATATTCATGGACCTGAAAGGTTGCTACAGGACCTGAATCCATATTGATATCCCATAACTGAAATGCAAAAATAAAAGTTACCAAAAGGTGTTGCATCATAAACAAGGGGTAAAAAAAGGTATTAAAATTCCTCCCTCAGCCAACAGGAGCTCATCATACTCAGGTACACAATTTCACAAAAAGAAATGATTTTGCTACTGGAGTTGGCAAATTGGACCAAAAATTTATCACTTCTCTAATATAATTCGCCTTTTCGAGTTCGCGGCTCACTTGGGAGGGGGGGGGGAGGAGAATTGGGAAATACTGGGAATAACAGACAGAACATCCTAAATTGGGTGTAGCCCTGAGTCCCTGACCATAGTGAGCAACATTGGGCAGCTTTTATCAGCCAAGGGTCCAGATTATGTTACTTGCATTATAGTAAAAACATTATTATGAGAAGTAATTTCAATGTCGTTACAAAAGGATTCAGCAGGAAAAGGCCTTTGTCTAGCATGCTGTATCCAGTCGTTTGAACTCAATCGTTGATGTATACTCGGGTTATACTTTATGCTTTCACACACACACACACACACACAGGTCTTCTGCTATGAATCACCACCAAGACAGGCACCAAGAACCGAAGGTATAAGGATCACCGTGATTCAGGAACATAAAGGTCACGGATGATAAAATTTTTAAGAGTTGCAGTAAGAAGTTACAATCTTAGCATCATCTTAATTCACAAATAATGTTGGACTTCATTGAGCAGGAAAAGTGAGCCAATAGCCAAGTTCCCACTATCTTTTAGTATTGAGGGTTGTTGACAGGCAACAATGCTTATCCCAGAGCACCTTCAATGCCATGATAAAAACACCTTCGACAAATCTCTGTCCCCAAAAATAAAGCTCCCAACAGCTTTCCCCTTTAGGAAAGCAAAGCAGGTTAAGGAGGATGAATTTTGGGAGATATGTTTGAGGGGAGGATAAGTTATTAGGACAATGCCTGCCTTTATAAAACTGCCTCAACTAGGCAAGAAAGGTGCTTGACCTTGCCAACTTGTGCCTCAACACGCCTTTTTATACACTGGTTCAGAGTGGTTCATACTAGTGTGTCACTTTCCCTACACACACACAGCTTAACCTCTAGCCATACTCCTAGGCAGCTAAGAACACTATCTCTTTATGATGCCTCAAAAGTAAGCTGATGTGCTCTCTCTCAACCATCAAGCTACTCAAAATTCAATCAATTTTATTTCTTACAGAAATATTGAGTTCTGATAAAAGAAGAGGAATAGAGTAACTTTATCTCCTTTCTACAGGTTAAGGTTAAGAGAAAATTAATGACAGATTTAGTACACTAAACAGCCCTTGTGCATGAAATCATTTACCATGAATGAAGAAAGACCAATATCAGCCAACCAATCATAAATTTTCAAGAATGGGGGACGTTCAAACCAATAATAAGCAACATAAAGAAAAATCAAACCTTAAGAGTCATGTAATCACGACTAAGTATATGCCTCCCATCTTTTGCAAATTTAATATCTGAAATGGAAGCAATTATCTCTGTAAAAAAGGATCTTGAACCAGGCGCTTCTTGTTCCTCAAATCTGCATGAAGAATGTCATTTTTGAGTTAATTTTTTAGGAATATAAAAGACAACACTATTCACTTTGATTACTCATTTGGACCCCCTATGCAATGACACATAAGGAGGGGAGGCAAAACAACATCCTCTTTTACTTTATCCTCATTCTTCAAAAGGGCAAAAATCTCTCACAAAAAAGAAGAAACAAAAACACTTCACCACTCACAATTTTGCGTGACTATCACATAGTGCTGATTGCCGCAAGTCAATGAGGCGGATTGATCCTTTTGAGCTACTATATGCCAATGTATTACAATGGGATGGGTGAAACTCAGCTGATGTAATAACCTCTGCCAAAAATAAAAATAAAATAAAATAAAATAAAAAGAGTTCAGAGGACCCTCTACATGTAAAACTAAAAGCCACCGTGGTCAAGAGTTATAAACAAAAAAAAAAGCGACTTGTGAGGGGTTTAAGACAAAAGGCACATTGAGATAATTATCCCAAGTCACTAATATTCCACAACTTTTACTGTTTCAATAACAATATACCACAAGTTCATTTCAAAGAAATAACTTCCAAACATCCTAATGAGCAGCCATTCAATCAGAAACACACAGACTAGCATATCAATTTAAATTCACAAACACGTTATAAAGTCTCATTTCTCAGCCTCCAAATTGATGGTGGAACATTGCAATTGTTTCACAGATAATCAGAAGTGGAGTACAACACCAATATCACGAGAAGCTGTTTTCTTTACAAATAAAACTCGCCAAGCTCAAATTTTGTTTGGAGTACAACACAAACTTTCATCTAGCTCAAGATGTTTTTCAGCTCCCTTATGACACACCCAAACAATTGCTTAAGGAGCTAGCAAGTGGCAATTGCCTATGTACATTTGTTCGTCATGATTTTAGAATAATAATCCCCAAAAGTAAATTGGACAATTGTTCATCATGAATTTGAAATAATATTACCCATAAATAACTTGCAAAAAATCTACACAGCAATATCCTTTCAATTCTACAAAAACCCAAATACTACAACCTAATGCAAAGAAGAGCTTTTTTAATATATATATATATATATATATATATATATATATATATATATATATATATATATATATATATATATATATATATATATACACAGTTAATCAAGTGAGATCTTGGCATAAACCTCCATGCAGTGAAATATAAAGGGGCAACAGTGAAATCAAATATACCAGTCAGATCCTCCATGTTTTGGGGCTTTACATCAACAATATTGAAACTCTGATTGCTTATCTCCAAGTTCCAAAGGTTTATTCGCAAATCATCTGCTGATATAAAAGTCTCTCCATCACTGTAACAGAGATAAAACTGAATGTCACGGAAACCACATCATAACACTCAGCAAAATAACAATTGGTAAAGACCATCTGCATTATTAACTGCTAAGCTCAGAATGCATGTTTTCTCATAGGTAAAATGTGAGTCAGTGATCTATCTACAGTAAATCGCAGAACCTTATTGTACAAGCATGCAATGACATAAGAATTAGGAAGGAGAAGAAATAACAAGAAATTTAATTTTTGTGAATGTCTGATAGAATAAGAATTGCCATATAGGACTTCATTACTCATAAAGCCAGCAATTAAACAAAAAAATTTAGATGCAGGTAACAAATCAGTAAAAGGAATATTATACAACAAAGCAGGGAAACATAAACATACAAGTAAACATCTTTATTGGCCATACAGGCATACCAGATCCCACAACAACAACAAGAGAAATAAATACAAAAAGGTAAATTCTGTACTTCTCAACATCTACCTACTCACTAAGCAATAGAAGATGCAAATATCCTGATTTTAAGCATGCTGCAAGGACTTGGATCATACCAACATTCACTATCACTCTACAATCACCTATCATTTGTTGCGACAAGATCAAAGAAATTGCTTAATTGAAGATCCATGGAAATTACTGCATAAATATAAATGCAGGTGTACATACATTTATAAAAGTACACATGCAAACACAAACAGATGCAGATAAATCCATCTTCACTAGGTATCACAAGGGTATATATTCATAAACAACTTACAAGAAATACAGGGAAACAACTTAAGAAATGTGATATTATAGCTGTATATCTGAGGCACATTTACCTGTTATTTGAAATGGAATTAATGTGATAGTCATGAGCATGAGCATATACTCTCCGACATCTAGCAACAAGGCTAGTCTCATTGCTGGTGACCTACATATTCAAGGCGCACATCATTAGCATAAAAAAGATACTGAATGATCAAATAAAAAGAAAGAACAATTAGTTGCATGATAAAAAAAGATATGAAGTATCACAAAAAGACTCAATTTGAAGCTGTACTAAATCATTTTAGCTCTTATTCATGTTAAAGGACTGACTGAATTACCTACATCTAATAATGTAATATACAATATGCATATTTCTATACACATAATGGGCCATTTAGAACCTAATGACAAAGTGAAATTACCAAGTACTCTGTAACAAGTTAGTTAGCAGGGAAAAGACTGGGGAAACTTCATTCCTAACATAGATAGGGGAACAATAACCACTCAGTCACATAAAAATATATATATTAATAAAAACTAGATGGGGTACAACTACCACTGGTAAACGCAGAGATGAGATCCCTCCAGGTGGGAAAGACTCATTATTCAAAGAATTAGGCAATTTGTCAGGATATCCTCCATTCACAACATACGGCTTGGGACTGGGTGGAACACTTGAACTAGAACCAGAACCATTATTCCCTGGAGTTTTGGAAGGGTCCATATTCATGTCAGCTATCTTCTTTACCTTCTTTTCTTGAACCTGTCAAATGAACAATCAAGAAAAAAAGCGATCAACAATAGAAGATGTAATACAAGCACAACTACTGTACAAAATAGGAAAAAGAAAAAAACAAATCCATCTCATGAATGATCTGCTCAATATTCATGAAAGAAATAGGCCTTAAAAGGGGTTATTAGGAAAATCAACTACCACTTCCAAATCAGTCAAACGAAGAACCTTTGACCAGGCCACATAAAGATGATAATTGGCAAACCATTAAACTACAGCCACGCACTCAGTGAAATAAGTGGGTGAGATAATTTCAATAATGTTGCAATGTAATAACGGAAAAGCCTACCTTCCAAAACTTAATGGTCTTATCATTTGTAGACAAAAGAAACAAAGCACTGTTAGCAGTTTGGCACCATCTGATTTTGTTGATTTTCTCCTCTATTTCCAAACTCTTCAGGTAGTCGAACTGATCCAAGAAAACCATACCCAGTATCAACAAACTGAGAGAAGATTTTCACCATAAAAATTGCGTCCATACATCAAACAACCAAGAAAATAGAAATCCGGAGTTACCTCAGGCTCATGACTCTGAAACTCAGTTTTATAACGAAACTCTGGATGCCTACTAATTGGATAGTCCATCCTCTCCATATCCCTTCTACCAATGCCATGCTGTACAATGACGTATAAAACAAATGAAGATAAATCTTAAATACTGTTCAAATTGAGATAAGGTGATACGTAAAGGACTTACATCCTTTGTGTCTGTTCTCTCAAATAAAACCACCCTGCCCCCACGGTCACCAGTAGCTAAATGGTCTCCAGTTTTATCGAACTCTATAGCTGAAATGATATCAACTGCAAAAAAGAAACACAAAAGTCTGAACAAATAGCCAACTATATATTAAATTCACACATTGACAAAATGTTAATAATTAATACGAGTTACATGTGTAGCATAAAAAAAATGGTAGCTTCAGGAGAAATTAGATATGGTGATAAAAGGTAATAAGCCATAGCAGTTAGCACGAAAACAAGAACAATGGGATCAGCGCGATCCATCTTAATTTAGACTTGAGAAGGAGATACAGGCTATAAGAAGCATTTTAACACATTAATTGAAGACTCAGATTTTGTATTCAAACTTTGCGAATAGTTAATGCAAAAATAGTGTAGCAGGTGCATCCAGGGCATTCCACGCATATTAATTGTAAGGAAAGTAATCCGATAGGAGAAGGGGCATCCTTGCACAAATATTTCTAGCTTTATTACTTTAGCAGTAAAAACAGGATTACATATTTTAATCATTTTCACTCTCTGATAAACTTCTCTTTTATGCTATCCACAAAACAGTAACATATTGCACACAAATGAAATCATGTATAATGAATTAATCAAAGGTGTAGCTTTCCAAGCTATGAAGTTAATCAAATTGCTAAAATTGACTAATAACCAGCTGATTACCAGATCTGGTATATTTCTCACCCAAAGTCCAAACAAAGATCTACAAAAGTAATGCTCTTGTAAAAAAGATGATGGAGTTTATATGCTTTTGAGAAACAAGTTCCAACTAGACAACTAATTGTAAATTTCTAGGAGGTTAATGGCTGCAATGAATATTGATCCTCTCACTTACAACTAAACATGCTAAATCCAGAAGTGTACTTGGATGAAAAAAACAATACTAGATGTAATGTAAGGGGAGGGGCTGAGGGATCTAAATTTCCTTGTTAAGAAATGAGACAGGAAGGGATTGGAGCCATCTAATTTCCTTCCCCTTTTAACAAACTAACTCCTTTAAATATTGGAATGATTATGCAAGCTCACTTCCCCCCCCCCCACTCTCATGTTCCCCTTCCCTCTAGCACTGCTAACCAAACACACTCTAAAAACCATTAAAGAGTTCCCAGCTAATATATTTGCTTCTTCTGGCTTCAATGAGCTTGAGCATTCCAAGTGATTGCTTAGACAAGTATAAGTGACAACACAAGAATAGTGGGAAGGGATGCAACCTCAACAAATTAAGTACCTATACACAGAGCATCCACAATAGAATAGGTGTGAAATAGTAGCAGTAGTGAGGCCATCCTTCCTGGCACCAACAAGTAAAATAACAGATACATTCTTATCAATCCAATTCCTCTCGCCCAGCTCTTGCCATTATGGGATTGGGATAAGATAAAACTACACACAACAACTTAACTATTACTGCGTTTAAGAAGCAGGCTTGACTGGAAAAATCATCCAACTCACACTGTTCCCTTATTTTACCTGACTTAATCCTTTATCATCCAAACATCAAGTAATACTAGTTTATAGCTCTATCAAAGGCGGACTCATACCTCACACTGTTCCCTCCAATAAAAGAACTCAATTACCACCTGCCATATCACAAACGACAGGCTAATGGTTATATTAGCCACTAATCTGTTTAGTGTTTATGAAATGGTCTTGATTGAAAGGCATCAACTAACTAAATAAACAATAAGTTGGCACTAATACAAAACAGTAGTTATCCAAGTTAGACCTTTGCAATCCAATTATCCGGTACTACTACTTATAGCTCTATCGAAGACGGACTCATACCTCACACAATTCCCTCCAGTAGAGTAACTCAATTACCATGAACCCGCCGATTCAATCACTCCAAGCTCGCTAGCTAAGCCGAGCTAAACATATATTTCCTCCCATATTACAAGCATATCCAATATCCACATACTAATGTCAACCAATTCCTAAACATTCCTGAATCATTGCATGGTAACATAACATCAACATCAAAATCAAAACATTTTCAATCAACTTCACTGATTAGATTGACCCCAAAAAACCCCTCAAATCAAAATCCCTAAATTCAACATTTTTATCAACAATAATCACAACCCATAAACCCACTCCAATCAAAACAAACAAAAAAAAACTAACCCAGATCTTAAAACATCGAAAAAACTCAAACCCTAATCATGAAACACAATCAATTTCCCAAAAATCAATAACAAAAATCAAGAAATTGGATCTCACCTTCCTGAACTTCTTCACCAGCTGCCCTTTCACCGAAGACCTGAGAGAATTTCCAGTCCAACGGAGATGGCGGTGGTCCGACGCCGGAAACTTCACCACCACCAACAACTCCGGCACCTACATCGCCGCCGTTCATCGCTTTCTCTCTCCTGATTTTCTTTCTTCTAGGTCAAAATCAAAAAGGGCGAAAATCTTCAGAGTTTCACTACTCCTCCTTCATCAAGAAATAGTTTGATTTTTCGATCGAATTTGAGAAAAATTATACAAAAGATCAACCAAAAAACACAGCACAAAAAAGGGTTAGCGGATTTCTATGAAAAATGTCAGCTTTTCATTTCCAACATTCCCAACTATCAGATTTCGATTTCTCTCTTTCTCTCTCCTCCACCCTTCTTCCTCTCTTTCTCTCTCCTCTCTTTCTGTCTTTTTATTTTTACAGTATTTTTATTTTTCAGAGGATAGTAATTGAAATTTTGGGAATAAATTGATCTTTAGAAAGTAAAAAAATAAATAAATAATAATGGGAAGAACAAAATAAAATAATTATTACAGACTTACAGTAAATGGGTTTGTGGAATTTGGGTTTTATTTTTAAAAAAATTTCTCTTCAAAAAAAAAAAAAAAAAAAAAAAATTGTTACCATAGTACATTGCACTCTATTTTGCTCTTGTTGTCTTTTTTCTCAAAGCCTTATTCCCTTTTACTTTGTATTTTTTTTTTTCCTCCTTGTTAGTGTGTGTTCTTTTTAATTGTGTTTTACTAGTGTTTGTCTATTACGGAGTAATTTACATGTTTACTTTCGTTCTTCATTTTGAGAAATTGAGGGATGGTTAAAGTGGGGGGTTTAAATCTTCGTACCTCTATTAATGTGATAGGGTGGTTACTCAATATGAGAAACAATGGTGTTTCTATTGGTATTGTTGTATGCTTTGGTTTACGCGTAATATTATTAACTGTACAAATGGGTTGGACCAATGTAAAACGGTAGGTTAATGTTGAAAACATTTTTTTTTTTAAGCCAAACGAGCGAAACTATATTAAATCAAATTAAGTTCCACCAAAGTATTAAGACTTTGGGGAAAAGGACCCATACAAACACGCTCTGGAGCCATACTAGTATCCCATCTAGCAACGAAATGGGCTATCGTATTCCCCGCTCGTTTAACATGCTTACAAGAAAAGGAAAGGAAATTAGAACTCATGTTTTTTCACATCATCAAAGAGAAGAAAAATGGGAGCAGCTCCTTCTTGGTTGGCTTGGATTGTACGAATAGCAGCAAGTGCATCACTCTCAAGGATAATCCTATTAAACCCCATCTTCCCTGCCAATTCCACCCCATACCTCATAGCTCCAGCATCTGCCATATCCGGGCTCCACCTTGCTTCGCAAAGTTTGACAGCAGCAGCCATTAGAACGCCCTGGCTGTCACGAATGACAACCCCAAACTGAGTGCCCACCCCATCAATAATATGGGCATCAACATTCACTTTCACAACCCCATTTGGAGGAAGAGACCACGAACTAGCAGACCTTTCCACAACCCCTGCAGCCGGTGTTCGCACCTTTTCATTGTATACCCCATAGTCTGAGCTTAATCGAACAAAACCCGCAGCCATTCCCACGACATTAATACCACTTGGACCATTAAAAACATGTGTATTACGGCAGAGCCAGGCTGCCCAACACAAAGAAGCAAAGGCACGCAACTTCTCTTTACTCACCTTTTTAGCAAACCAACAAAATCTAGCAGCAAAATCCAATTCAGAGCATTCATCAAGGAGTTCCCTGAACTCGTTGTAGCCCCAAATTTCCATAGCATACTTACATTCAAAAATTGAATGTACAATAGTTTCCTCATAGCTTCCACAGACTCTGCAGTTCCTAGACTCACCAATATGGCGCCTAAAAAGAACATCACTTACTGCCAATTGCCCCTTACACGCCCGCCACAGGAAATGACTAAGTTTCGGGGGTCCATTTAGATTCCATGTCGCACTCCACACATCCTTATCAACCAACCCATTAACCAGCTCCCACGATCTCAGCACACCAAGACGTCCTAGCCAATACCCGCTTCTCACAGTGTACTCACCATTTGGTGTAGGCCACCAATACATGCTATCTCGGGGTAATCTTCTAGATATTGGGATGTTCAAGACTGCCTGCATATCTTCCTCAGAAAAGACCTCTTCAATCATGTTTCTATCCCAGCAGCCACCCTCCATATCGATCAATTCATCAACTCGAAGGTTCAAATTGCTGTCCGATTTTGGAGTAGGAACAAAATGAGAGCCATTACCATAGAGCCAAGCACTTTCCCACACTTTAATTGAAGTACCATTCCCCAATCTCCACTTTACTCCATCAAGAAGAAGAGCTTTTGCCCCCCAAATGCTTCGCCAACTATAGCTTGGGTCATGACCTCTAGCCGCGTCAAGGAAGTTTGAATTTTTAAAATATCTAGCCTTAAGAATGCCATAGAGGAGGGAGTTTGGGTTATTACAAAGTCGGCACCCTTGCTTTGCAAGGAGAGCTTGATTAAAAACCCTTAAGTCACGGAAACCCATACCCCCCATTGACTTTGGAAGACAAAGGGACTCCCATTTTTGCCAATGCATTTTCCTTTCCGACCCCTTAGAACCCCACCAAAATCTAGCAAGAATCGAGTGAATTTCATTAATCAATCCATTGGGTATTCTAAAAATGTTCATCATATAAGTGGGAATCGCTTGAGCCACGACTTTAATAAGGACCTCTTTCCCCGGACGAGACAACAACTTCTCCTTTAAGCTAGCAAATATTGCTTTTTTTTCCAAATCCTCTCCTTTAAGCTAGCAAATATTGCTTTTTTTTATCTCCCAATGATCGTAGGTAACCCAAGGTATTTTTCATGCCTATCCACCTCTCTCACCCCAAGAATATCAATAATTTCTTTCCTTCTATTGGCAGTGACACATTTACTAAACGCTACCTCAGTTTTACTGAGATTAACACTTTGCCCAGAAGCTCTTTCATACACACTGATAATTTCAGCAATTTTAGAGCATTCATACAATGTAGCTTTAGCAAATAAAATACTATCATCCGCAAAAAATAGGTGAGAAATTCTAGGAGCACCTCTACAAACTCGTGCCCCATGAATAATTTTATCATTGGCCGCTTTAGATAACAACATTGAAAAAGCATCGGCACAAATCAAAAATAAGTAAGGAGAGATAGGATCACCTTGACGTAAACCACGCTTCGGAACCAAAGAGCCCGAAATACCACCATTGTACTTGAAGGAAAAAGAGACACTAGCCAAACACCCCATAATGCGGTCAATCTAGGACTGCGGAAACCCCATATTTTGCATATCCTTTTCGAGAAAACACCACTCAACCTTATCATAGGCTTTACTCATATCGATCTTTAAAGCCACCGACCCGTCTTTTCCTTCCTCTCTCCTCTTCATAGCATGGAAGACCTCGAAAGCAATGAGTGCATTATCCGTTATGAAACGATTAGGCACGAAAGCACTCTGATTAGGAGAAATAACAGAACCCAACATATTTTTCATTTTATTTTCCATAGTCTTCGAAATAATTTTATACAGTACGTTACATAGACAAATCGGTCTGAATTCTGTCATTCTCTTCGGCTCATTACACTTTGGGATCAATACGATGCAAGTACGGTTAACCTCCCCCAAATCTATTTCTCCACGCCACCAGCCTTTCACAAAATTAATGACATCACCACCAATCACATCCCAAAACTTCTGAAAAAATAGAGCATGCATCCCATCCGGACCCGGGGCCTTATTTGGATGCATTTGAAATAAGGCCCCCTTGATATCCTCCCCCGATGGCTCCCTCTCCAAACACTCCTTCATCTCATCCGAAACAAGAGGAACAATGCCAGCCGTAGCCTCTTCCAAGCTGCCCGGATTATCAGAACTGAATAAAGCCCCGAAATAGGTAACAATCACCCCATCAATGTCATTCACAGAAGTCTTCCATTCCCCTGCATCATCATACAACCCCGAAATAAAATTCTTCCCTCCTCTCTGAGTTGCCTTGTGATGGAAATACTTAGTATTTTTATCTCCGTCTCTTAGATCGTTCGATCTCGCCCTATTATACCAGTATGACTCCTCAAGTCTTCTCAGGTTTTCAATATCATCTTTGATTTTGTTACATAAATCCATCCGACTCGCATCAAACCACCCTCTTTGAGCTTCTTGCAGTTTTGTCTTAGCCTTTTTAATTTTTTTCTTTAAATCCCCAAACTTGCGCCCAGCCCAAAAGGAGAGGTCCTCACCCACCCTTGCAATTCACTTGTGAATGGGTTCACTCACTCCACATACCCACGCATCCGACACCACTTTACTGCATTCATCGCTTGAGAGCCATAGAGATTCGAACCGAAACACTTTTCTTTTCCTGTCACATTCATTTTTTCACCAAATTTCAGCAAGATAATAGCATGATCAGAGTGGCATATAGGGAAATTAATGATCTCCGCATATGGGAACAAAGCACACCAATCACTCGAGGCAACGTATCTATCAAGTCTTTCTCTCACAAACGTATCCACTAATTACCTTTTTCCCAAGTTAATATATTGCCTTTGTAGCCGAGATCTCGAAGCCCACAATCCACCAAAACATCTCTAAAAGCATTTATCTGCCTTTACCCCCTTATTGCTCCGCCACTCTTCTCATGAAGGCCCAAGATTTCATTAAAGTCACCAGCATAGAGCAACGGGTTAGCACAGCCACTATGAATTTGCCTCATAAGCTCCCATGTACGGTATTTATGTGCCGCTTCGGGCCAGCCATAAACACCAACAAACTTCCAACTCGGGTTACCATGGGCATCACAAACATTCTCTTCAATATGGTGAGCAGAAAAAGAAACCACTTCCACATTCAAATCTCTCCACCAAAGCCCCAAACCTCCCGACCTCCCATTACTACTCAAACACATGCCATTTACAAAACCACACCTATTTCGAACCAACTGTAGACGGTGAGAATCAATTTTTGTTTCCATTACGAAAACAATATTCGGCCGGCCCCTCCAACACCAATCTTGGAGAGCTTTAACTGTCGATGGGTTGCTAAGCCCATAACAGTTCCAACTTAGTATTTTCATTGCTCTTCACGGGGTTGGACATCTCCAACCTCCGTTACTTGATGCAAATCTGACAGCACCCTGTCATCAATCCCTCCTCTTTCTTTCTTCGAACATAATTCATCCCCAACCAAAGTATCCCCAGCCCCCAGTATACCAGCTTTCCTCTTACCAGTTTGCAGATCACCACACCCTTCGTCAGTTTCCATATCAGCATGTTCTTTACCTCGGTATCTAGCAGCCTTGAAAATCTTTCTGTCTTGTTTTTTAGGAGAAGTCAACCCCACCTTAAAAGTATAAGGCCAAGTTACATTGTTTTCCTCACCCTCCTTTTGTCCC